ACCAGAGTTGTTGCTGCTGTACGGGCTTTCTTGCAGCTGGCCTGGTGCGCCTTGCATCTCTTCTGGGACTCGAAGGGCAGGCTGCAGAGGGCGCAGCTGAAAGTGGTGGATTTGTTGTGGCACCTCTTCAGGTGTCTGGTGACTCCTCCGAGGAGATGGAAGCGTCGGGGCGGCAAGCAGATGGGGCAGATGAGTGCATCAGCGGCAAGGGGGTATTTCAGGTAGTTGAGCTCGTCGTCGGCCCCTGTGGAGCGGGGGTCGCAGCAGCAGCAGAGGTTTCTCCAGCTGGTTTGTTCCCCCGGGGGGAAAAGGGGGGAGGGTGGTCCGGCTAGGTAGGCATCTGGTAGAGTCCTGGGGTCCCTCCGGGTGGTGTCTGGGGCTGAGCAGCCATCTCGTGGGGTGCTGGGGCCCTCCTGGCTGCACGGCTGGTGGTGGCGGTGGCATCCTTCAGCGGTAGCTGTACCTCAGGAGCACTGGGGATGCTTCCCGGTGGCTGCAGCTCTTGGGAGGCAGTGGGGGTGACCTGTTGAGGGTCAGGGGAGTTGTCCCTCAGTGGCGGGGGCTGCTGAAGTGCAGGGGGTGTGTCTGGTGTCCGCTGGAGGACAGGGGAGCCATCTCGGGGCTGCTGGGGTGTATAGCGGAGGTCTCTTGGTAGCTGGGGGATAGCAGGGGGATCCCTCAGTAGTTGCAGCCGCTGTGGGGCGGGGGGTCTCTCACTGGCTGGAGCAGCGGGGGGGGGGATCCCCAGCAGTTGGGGCAGCAGGAGAGTGGCTGGAGGGGCCCCCAGTGGCTGGAGGGGCCCCCAGTGGCTGGAGCGGCTGGTGGGCAGCTGGGGAGTCCGTCGGCAGCTGGAGTGTCTGGTGATCGGCAGGCAGGTCTCTCGGGTTCTGGAGCAGCTCACCTGTGGGGGGGCAGTCCCCCGGTGGCTGGCAAGCGGGGGAGAACCCCTCTGTGGCTGGGGGGCAGTGGGGCTCGGCATCTGGGGCAGCTCACACGTGGCAGGGCTGACCCTTGGCTGTTGGTGAGCGGCGGGGGAGTCCCTCTGCGGCTGGAGTGCAGTGGGGGCATCTCTCTGCCTTTGGAGCAGCTGGCACGTGGCGGGGCAGTCTCCTGGTGGCTGGAGCTGCCGGTGGGCGGCGGGTCGGAGCCTTGCCTGCTGGAGCGCATCAGAAAGCTCCGCAGGCACCATGAGCGGCGGCGGCTGCTGGGGCGCAGGGCAGGAGAGCGACTCAGGCAGCCGGGGCTGGGGCGCATGGCTGGGCTCCCTGGGCCGCACAGGAAGTGGCAGCCGGGGTGCGGGGCAGGAATCCCCCGGCGGCCCGAGCAGCAGGGGCTGGGGCGTGTGGCGGGGGTCCCCAGGTTGCATTAGCAGCAGCAGCAGCTGGGGCGCAGGGCCGGGATCCCCCAGTGGTTCGGGCATCAGCGGCTGCATCAGCGGCTGGGGCCCCCAGGCTGCATCAGCGGCTGGGGC